TCTATGGAATTTAAACAAATTAAATTAAAAAAAATACCTGTTCAGGATGTTTTGCAAGATATTCATTTTTAGCATCTCTGATCATCCTTGTTACTTTGTTCCGTAAATCCTTAAATTCTTCCCATTCTTTTGCATCTTTATTTTTTTTTGCTTTAGCATACAGCTTATTTTTCTTTTGTATTTCACTACGAATTTCATCAGTCATCCATGGCTTCTTTAATTCTATTTCCTAAATAATAAAAATATCGTTTGATCATAATTTGAATAAAAATTTTAAAACTTTAAATTGTCCTGACACATATAGTGAAACAATATAAATACAAAGCATAATAAGTTTCTTTTAATGATTAAGAAATACTAATGCAATTTTTAAATATATCAATGTGCTACTGATCAAGTTCTCTTCAATATCTTTCACACTATTTAATAGTTAAAATACAATACCTAAATTGATTTTAGTATAATAGATTTAAGACAAACAATTTTAAATACAAAAGAAAAATTCAAGCAATTTAGCACAAAAAGTAGGTAATTTTTAAAATGACTTTGCTATTTACACATTATTATGAACTAAAATAAAACACATATATAAATATTTGAACAAAACAAAATAGTAATAAATAATAATAAATTTTAGGTTTCATACATCAATTATTATCTAATTGTTCAGATAAAAAAAATAGAATCATTATCCATCTTTTATTCTATAAATATATTGAAAAAATGATAAATCTCATACTTACTTCAAGTTTGCACACTTTTTTCACATTATTCAATGCTTTGCCTTTAACATTGCCATTTCCTATGGAAAATCGTGGTCTCATATGAGACAAGATTTGGGGTGGTAGTGCTCTTCTATGCCACGGTCTCATTAATGGTACTCTAGGTCCTGCGTCTCTTAAACCCATTGGTGGAACCATTGGAGCCATACCCCTGACTCTTGGACCAAATAATGGCATGGGTCCACTGGGTCGGCTTACTCCACCTGGTCGTGGTGGTGGTGGTAATCTCATTGGTCCGAAAACTGGACTCATAGGAGGTGGTGGCATTCTCGGAGGTAAACCAGGATGTGGAAGTCTACCACCAAATCTTGGAGGTGGAGGAGGCCGTATACCAGCTGGTGGAACTCTTGGCCCTAATAAAGGTCCCCGATTTAATGGACTCATTGTTGCTTTATTATATAGATCTTTCCAAATCACTGTTGCGTTCTCAAGTAGTGGCTCAATGTACTGCCGAATGCGAAGCTTTATTTACAAGGTTAAGACCTTAACTTCACACACTACCTGTACGCGTAATACGCGTCGTATGCAGAAATTCTACACTTCTCAACTTTGTCACATTCAACTTTTATTGCAAGATTAATCGCGGTAATAATTTCTGTCGGGAATATCGTGAAAACATTACGAATTTGTAAGCAAATAAACTTTTTACACGGCAAACAGCAACTACTATCAATGAACTTGATCTGACCGTCACGAACAACAAACTTCAAGTCATACAAACCGATTTAAAATTTCGATAGTGTAATGGAGAAAAAGGTAGAAAATTAACTTTAATATTGTTCATAATGTCATATTATATAATAAAACGTACATTTTTTATTTTTTAAAGAATTATAATTTAATACTTTTCAAAATAAAAACTTTTCTT